TCTCTCTCTCTCTCTCTCTCTCTCTCTCTCTCTCTCTCTCTCTCTCCTCCCTCCCTCCCTCCCTCTCTCTCTCTCTCTCTCTCTCTCTCACATACACACAGACCGCAGGGTCAATCATTTACCCACATTCATTAGTTTGCCTCTTGTAGATAAGGGTTCGGCTTGGTGGTTTGACTCAATCATCATTCACTTATTTTAAATTTCTTAATTAGTCAGTTTGTAAATGTCAGTTGCAACTAGGTGCCTTCTAATTTCATTGGCATGATAGAATTCCCATTGTTTGCTATAAGGGACAGCCATAGATGTCAAAAGAACATTTTGTTTTTTGTGGTGTGTGTCTAATTTGATTCATCACCACCTATGGCTGTTTTGTTTTAGGTCCATCTAGAATGTCTCCAAAGTCTCAACGACCCACTCGAGGGGCCAAGAATATGTCTTCCCCGACCAGCCGACCCATGGAAGTCGCTGCTGCATCTCCTACAGGTAGAAGCACAAACAAGCAGCAAATCTGATGTCTTTTTGTGAGGACCTTGATGTTTTTTTTAAAAAATCACCTATTAGCCCTAATCTAATTATCTTTGCTGTTACTGTATATATAGTGGGCCGTCTCTATGCTCCTCGTTCACCGAAGTCTGCCTCAACTGTTCCAGTCTCTTCCCAAGATCCCCCTGTGGGATCAGCTATCCCTATTGTTCCTGCATCACCTTCTGAGTCAAGGACTACCATGGAATCGAGTGCTTCCCCAACCCCACCTTCACCTAAAGTCCCAGCATCTATCCCAGTAGCTGCTGTTGAAGGTAAGTACTTAAACTCAAGAGTAAAGCAGGTTTGGTTGAAGGAACTAAGGATGGACCTAAAACAAAGCAACCTATATAGGTATTAGCTGGCCAGAGAATCCTAGGTGTGTTGCACCAAACTCCTCAGTGTGTCATGATTTCAGTGTTTCTGAGAAGGTTGAGAACTTTGTTTAGATTTTTGAAACTTGCTGCCTGAAAAGATTGCTGACTTGTAAAGTTCTCACTTGTTTTTTCTTCCCTCCTATTTTTATCCTAGTAAGAAGAAGGAATTTGAAATTTTACAGTTTTTAAATAGATAGGTTTGATCAGTTGAAAAAGTTTTAAGATAGTAAACAAATTCTTGTCTGTCTGAAGAAGGAGAGTAGGGGATTCGAATAAGTGATAAGGCTCTTTGGGAAGTTGCCATACTTTGCAGGTGAATTTCAAGTTTTTGTTCCTGTTTCCTTGCCCAGTATCTGGATGTAAAACGTAGCATATGTTTTGCCTCCTAACCCTTTCCTTCCTCTTCTAGTTAAAGAGGTGCCTAGCTCTGCCACCAAAGAAGCGGGCAGGACTGTAGAAATTATGGGCCCCTCAGACTTGGTCAAACAGGCTAGCAAAGGTTTGTTTCTTTTGACTCTGAGCTTTTTGCTTGCTACTCTAAATGTCAGATTGGAGTTGCTTTGTATATTATTGCTATGGAGTTGCTATGATACATTATATTTTGCACATTGCTTTTTTTTTAAATTGGGAGCTAAGTCAGGCAGAGTCTACACAGACAAGGAGACAAATTCCGTGTGTGTGCAATCACATTTGGCCAATAAAGAATTCAATTCTATTATTCTATTCTGTGTGATGAACTAAACAGTTAATTAATAAACTCAGAGCTCACTAGATGACTTTGAGCCAGCTGCTTCATCTCATAATAACCTATAGGATTGTCCTGGAGATAAATGAAGGAAGACTATCCCCCCCACCCCCCAACAACATCACCTTGCTCATTCAGAAAAGTGGAATATTAATACAAAATTGAATAATCATTGCTAAGTAAAAAAAATCTTACCAGGTGCATATAATTTAGTTGGCCACCGGAAACCAATGCCATCTGGAATACACCTCCCATAATTCTCAGCCAATTACTCCCATGTATTATTAGAGTACCAGATTTGAGAAGACTTAACAGAACTTGGAGATTGGTTAAATCTTCAATTGTGGCAATTGCACTGCTCTAGGTCTCCAAAATGAACAAAAGAGGAATCAGCTGGAGGAGTTGAGGAAGTTTGGAGCCCAGTTTAAGGTGAGCTCATTCTCTTATTCCCCTTCGTTTAAAGAGGAAGAAAACATTGAGCACTTTTAAAATAGAAATCTAAAATAAAAGGAGTTTTTCTGACCACAGTTGCTTTTACCCCATGTCTCTTCCTAGTTACAGCCCAGCTCCTCTCCAGAGGCCACCCATGACCCCTTCCGGCCAAAGGAGTCTCTTGAAGGGAAAGTCAAAGACAAACTGCCAGAGGTGTTGGTTGGGGCAGGCAGCTCGTGTGAAGGGTCTGAAGAGTCTCCCAAGCCCAGCCTGGATTTCTGTGAAGGCAGCAGCAAGGAGGAGAAAGGATCCTCTGAGGGCATGGAACGCCAGACCCAGACTGCCAGTCCTCTGGGTAAAGGGGAAGCGGAGGACAAGGAAGAGGGTCCTGTTTCAGAGTGAGTAAGAGCGGAAACCGGAGTCCAGGTAGTCCTCGATTTATGACCTCAATTGAACCCAAAACTTATGTTATTAAGTGAAACATTGGTTAAGTGAGTTTTGCTGCATTGTATGATCTTTCCTGCCCCAGTTGTTAAGCAAATCAATGCAGTTAAGCTAGCAACATGGTTGTTAAGTGAATCTGGTTTTCCCAATGACTTCGCTTGCCAGAAGGTCGCAAAAGGTAATCCCATGACCCCGGGACACTGCAACGATCATAAATGTGAGTCTGTTGCCAGGTGCCTGAATTTTGGTCATGTAACCATGGGGATGCTGCAATGGTCGTAAGCCTCTTTTTTCAGAGCTGTTGTAATTCAATGAACTGTTATAAGTCGAGGACTACCTGTATATAATACTGCTGCATGTTTATGTTCCTGTCTCATTTCCATTGTACTCCCATCCAGGCAGGTGAAGAAATCAACATTGAATCCTAATGCAAAAGAATTCAACCCCTCAAAGACGCTTCTTTCTGTGGTACATAACTAGCTCTGGGAATAGTGTGGGTTGATGGGGTGGGTTTTGGGATAACAGCACTTGCTTTCATAGCCACATATCTAATAACTGCTGTCTTTTTCCCCAGAACAAATCAACAAGTACGCCTACATCACCAGGGCCACGCACCCATTCTACACCCTCCATCCCAGTGATTACCCCAGGGCAAAGTGGCATGTACAGCACTCAATATATTTCTTACATCCCACAGATTCATATGAGCCCAGCTGTGCAGGTGAGGTGGGAGGAATGGTACCTGAATATCTTTTCACTGTATATTATTGGTTCTTTACAGTGTATATTAGGTAAGGATACTATTAGAATTAATTAGTTTGCTGCTATTCTCTGCAGACACCTCAAATGTACCCCTATCCTGTTTCCAATTCTGTGCCCGGGCAGCAGGGGAAATATCGAGCTAAAGGTGAGATTCTTGGCCAAAGATCATGGGAAATTTGCATGGAAGGCTCAATTGTTCTGCCACTTGGAGAGGAAAAAAACAAGAATATAAATGGCTTTTTTTAACCCATTTATTTTTCCTGAACAGGGTCTCTACCTCCCCAGCGTTCAGACCAGCATCAGCCCACCTCAGCTCCTCCCATTATGCAAGCAGCAGCGGCTGCGGGGCCCCCTCTGGTAGCTGCTACTCCATACTCTTCATACATCTCCTATAATCCCCAGCAGTTCACAGGACAGCCTACTATGATGCAGCCCATGGCCCACTATTCCTCGCAGGTGGATACAATAAATTTCAAGGGAAAACAGATACGTGGGTTTATCTGCTTTGCTAATGTTTTCTATCTTTTTCCTTCCCTCTAGCCTGTGTTTGCACCCATGCTGCAGAGTAACCCCCGTATGATGACATCTGGCAGTCACCCCCAGGCTATCGTCTCATCATCTACACAATATCCCCCAGCAGAACAACCTACACCCCAAACTCTTTATGGTACCTTTATTGTTAGCTGAAGTCTGAGCTTTCTTCCTTCCTCCTGCCACGTTGCCTTGTTGACTGCTGCTTGCTGCTTCTCTCCCCAGCCACAGTGCATCAGTCGTATACCCATCATGCCACACAGCTGCATCCGCATCAGCCTCAACCAGCTACCACACCCACGGGCAACCAGCAGCAAACACAACATGCCGCCCCCAGCCCTGTGCAGGTACTTGGAGGGAGGGGGAGGAACAAGTATGGAGTTGCTGCACAGGAGACGCAATGCTTGTCTTGGCACTCAACACCCTGCTATTTGATTTTATGTTTGAAGTTGGTCCTAGAGCACCATGATCCTTGAAGCTCTAGAAATACTAGGTTGGCATGAAAAGGAATCTTGCTTTTAAAGTGTCTCTCTTGGTTCCTGAAACTGCTTTTACAGAATTGAAGCACCAGGGACAAACTTAATAATCCTTGCATGCTTTTTGGCGGGGGGAAGGCAATTGAGGAATTAAATAAGATACTGCTTTGCAATTACTTTTGGTTTGGGTATTAATATAAGACAGATTTTGGGGGGGTGGTATTTTCTACAATGGAAATGCAGAACCGAGGACAGGTGGGTGGGTGGAACCTACCCACCATAACTGACATGTAGATTTTTTGGATATGATCTCTAAATAAAAGTACTTTTTCTGAGAACTTATGTTCAAAATGAGAATAATTTAAATCTATGACAACATGATCAACAAGTCAGAGGGTTATGTGTTATATAAAGGCGATCAGAGAATCAGAAGGCTAATTTAATAAAAAAGAATGTTAATGCCATTAAAACAAATTTAGTGATTTACCATCTTTCCCACAGATAAATTTATGCTAACCTGAGTTTCAGATCTTACTTTTCTCTATAAAATACCAAACATGTTCTTCAGCAATAACGTAAAAAGAAAAAAATAATGCAAACTCTGGTAGTTGAAGTTGTGACTCTTGTGTTTTCTGTATAGCACCAAGCTGGACAGCCCCCTCATTTGGCCAGTGCTCAGCAGCAGCAGAACCTGTACCACACAGCTACACTGACGGCTACGCCACCATCCATAACCCCGGGGCCGAGCGCTCAGTCTCCACAGAGCGGTTTCCCACAGCCAACTGTTTATGCCATTCATGCCCATCAGCAGCTGCAGCACGGATACACCAACATGGCCCATGTCACTCAGGTGAGTATGACTGACCCTGGGAAGGGAAAAGGCATTCTTGACCATGGAAAACATTTATCCTCATAAATACTCAAGAGTAGCGTTTGACAACCCTGGAGATAGAAATGATCAATTGATGTATGAGAAAAAATGATTTTGTCTACTAGGATTGAGTGGACAAACATTTAAAAGTCATCAATGGGATACTACATAAGTTTGAGCAAAGATTGTGTCAATATTAGTATCAAGAATGCCAATTGTTTCCTGAATTATTTGTTATTTAATATTTCATTATTAAATATTGTTTGAACAATACTTGGAATTAAATTAAGTGCCTCATCTAAATTTCAGTAGCATGAGTTACAGCAGTTACTAAATATATGTTCTTAAATTAGAAAATTTGGCATTTTCTGTGCTGGCCTAATTAGTTGATAAATTAGCGTATCGTTTATTAAAATCTTCAAACTATTTCTGTCTACTACAGGCCCATGTCCAGACTGGAATTGCAACTGCCCCACCACCTCACCCTGGAGCTCCCCAAGTCATGTTACTGCATCCCTCACAGACTCATGGTGGACCCCCTCAAGGAGGTGTGCCCCAGAGTGGTGTGCCCACCCTTTCCGCCTCCACACCATCCCCCTACACATACTTAGGGCACCACCAAGGTAAGTCTGTTATTTAAAGCCAGGGGTGGGGAGGTGGTGGATTAATAGGAAAGATGGATCCCTCTGATGTACCAACCTGATTCCCATCTAGCATGTCCGTATGGGTGGAGATTAAAAGATTTTGTAGTCAAGTGTTTCTGATCAGGATAAAGTAGCTACTCTTGAGCTAATAAGTAGCTAATTAGCTACTCCTAAGCTAATAAGTAGCTAATTAGCTACTCCTGAGCTAATAAGTAGCTAATTAGCTACTAATTATTGAGTAGGACTTGTCCTGCAGATAAGAGACAATACCGTTTTGAACTTTGGTGTCCCTTTGTGGTCCTCACTGTCTTTTTCTTCTCTTTTCAGTTCAGTCTCATCCCTCCCAGCAGCTTCCATTCCACACCCCTGGGAATTGATGTCCACACTTCTCCCGGTGACCTGAGATCCCAGCCAGCTATGGCTCTGTTGCTGACCCCCCTCCCCAACCCTGGGCCATCCATGTGCCCAAGGCAGAGGCCCCTGAAGGGATGCAGTCTGGCCCAGCCCCTCTTGGCAAGCACCTTCCTTTCCGTTGGTTTAGTGAAGCCTGCCCAGGGTACTGTTGACCAGCGGGATGGAGCAAGACCCCTTTCCATTGCCCAGAGGAGGGCAGGGTTTATTTTCTGTTATTTATAACTCCACTGGGGTTCCTAGAGCAAATGCCACTTTCCCACATTAACTTGACAAGGACATGACCATATGGACAAATCTTGACTTTTTATTAAGTAAAAATATTTAAAAAGTTAAAAAAAATAAAAATTTAAACTAACTAATGTTGGGCTTGGGGTGAATGTGTGGGAGGGTCAGTTGTAAGCAACAATCCTTAATTGTGATTCTGCAGCATCAGAGAGGAAGAATTTGTGACCTGTCCAGCATACATAGTTCAACCAGACTTGAAGAACTTTTGGAATTCAGCATTGTCTAGCAGCATAATTTTCCTCTCCGAAAACAGGATTAGCAAGGATTTGTAGTTTGACAATAAAGCAGATCCTAAAGTAGTAGTTTTTAGTGCTGGGTTATCCCGTGAATGCAATTACACACCAAATTAAAATTTTAATTGATGCTTTTATTGGAATCAATGACACATTAAATTTAAGGACTTTGGGGATGGGTAGAAGCAGTTTATTTATGCCATAATTCAATTTGGCCTCTGCAAGAGTCTTAGTTGCTATTGTTTTTTCTTAGTTATAAAAAGAGAAAACAAGAATGGTGATGTGACTTGAAATGTTAAATCTCTTTTATTTGTAGAGACCATTTTGAATCACTTAGAAGTCCCAGTTTTATGCCTCAGCTTGTCACCATCAGAGAATTCTTTTCAAACGAGTGCAGGTTAAGTTCAACATTATGGACCATGACCTTTTTGCTGCTCTTCAATGAAATTATGTTTTCCTTTGTCAACCTGCTTAGTCTCATAGTCTTACTTTGATCCTGGCTAGTCAATCTGAGGTATAGGGGATCTGGCATTGTATATAGGAACCTTACAGCTGTAATCTGAACCAACAGTTGTAAAGTGGTGAGTAAAGGAAATGTCCTTTTTTTAAACAGGAAAAAAACATTTATAGAAGAAAACAAGCTTTAGAATTAAGGATAATATTACCCTGTTTCTCCAACAATACGGCCTCCCCCAATAGGAAGACCCAGCATGTTTTATAGGCATGAAATGAAATTAAGCCCCTCCCCCCAAATTAAGGCCTATATTAAAACATGCGAAATGGGGGGGAATGGTGGGGGGATTTGCTGTTAGGAAGTACTTTTGTTGCACACCCGGATATGGTGCTGCCTGCGTTGACCCCGATACGAACTGCCCCACCAACGCTGAGGTCAACATCCAAGCCATCACCGCCCGCCCGAAGATGCAAAGGGGGGGGAATTAAGTCACCCCCGAAAAGACGGCCTAGCCATTTTTTCGGGGCTCAAAAAAAAATAAGACCCGGCCTTATTATATGAGAAACACGGTAGTCTGTTCTCAACCATTATAATTCTGCTGGTCATATTTGTGAAACAGGTTGGCAATGCTTAATCAGGCTAAAAACTTGTACATTAAATTTTATCAAACTCTTGTTAGTGATTCATGTACTTAGTTGCAAAAATAAGGCTGTGTATGGTTGATAGTATTTAACATCACTTTAAAAAAAACCCTTGTCAATGCAGTTAAAATACTGCTGGGAAAAAGATAAAAAGTGATGCATTTCACTCCTTCCAATGAGCACTTTAGCTTCCCAATCATATTTCTTCCTTCCCATCAAGAAAGACAACAATAATTCCCATCCCCACTTTTTAAATTCAAACATTTTTTTCTTGTATTTTCAATACTTTGTGATTTCATGCTTCCTTTCTCCTATGTATGGCAGCACAAAAACATAACAAATATGCTTCTGTGGGGTTCTTGGTGCTCCAAAATTACATTACCTGATTGGGTAACAAAAATGTCTGCAAGTAAAGCCCAGAGCACCAAGAAGCTAACAGTTCATATATATTATGTTCTATTGGAAATATGATGCTTTTGCATGCTGCTTATCTGTAATGGATTAAGATTACATAGCAGGGTTGTGCTTATGGTACACCAATGTTTTGTAGCTTCATCAGCACACCTGCATTAAGCCAGGGATGATTCTGGAGGGTGGGGAAAAAAGCTCATACTCACTTTTTAATTATTTTTATTTAAACAACTTTCACCCTTGCCCCCCACCCCCTGGTGGAACTCTCTTCTTTGAGCCAAGACTGCCACATTCATCTACTGTGCAGACTTGGATGCAGTGTCGTCAGTTTTCTAGGAAGTATTCATGTCCAATTCCAGCTGCTGCAACTTAATTATCCCAGCAATCCTCCCCTGGAGCAAGTGGCAGTATCTTTGTGACCACTCCAGTGCCCATGGTTCGAGAGCCATCCCGCAAAGTGAACCGTTGTCCTTGTTCCAAGACCATGGGGTACTGCAATATGAGCTTAAGGGAGACATTCTCACCTGGCATCACCATTTCCTATAGTAAAGAAGAGGAAAGGTATGAAGTGCAGCCTACACTTAGACCTCTACAACTGCAAAAAATGTGGCACTCTAGAAATATTGAGGTAATGCCCAGTACAAACCCCACTACTCAGCAGTGATCACGCAGAAGAAATTAGTGTGTATGGGGAAGTGATACGAACCTTTCCCTCGGGTAACTCTATGCGACAAGTCATATTCCAGGTCAGTGAGAACATAATTGGCATGAACCTAGACACAAAAGATGCTTGACGGCCACCTTCCTCTTTGGTCAGGATATAAACCTATGAAAGCAAAGCGATTCATTTTTCTTGTCTTTACAGGGTAGGACAGCAAGTTTGGGAGTACTAGCCCACCATTCCCTAGTAACCTGTTCTACCATTCTCTAGTAACGTGTTAACATGTGATCCAGAGTTTTATGGACATCTCTCAGCCCTCTACACGATGTGAAACGGCACCCTGGTATTCTGCCTTCCCACATATTTCCCTCACTCACCTGAGCTTCAATCTTCTGATGTGGTTGGACGGAGCCAGGCTTACACATGACTAATCCTCGTCGTATATCTTCTCGTTTCACAGACCGGATCAAAGCGCCCAAATTATCTCCAGCCTGTGCCTGATCCAACTGTTTGTGGAACATCTCGACACCTGAAGCCAATTACACACACATTTCTTCAAATTTTATACAGCCTCCCCAGTTCCACAAAATTATACAGGTAGTCCTCGACTTACAACAGTTCTCTTAGTGACCATTCAAAGTTACAGTGGCACTGAATAAAATGACTTATGATCCTTTTTCACACTTAATGGCCGTTGCAGCATCCCCGTGGTCACAATTTATATTTGGATGCTTGACGACTCACATTTATGATGGGTTGCAGCATTCTGGGGTCATGTAATCTCCCTTTGTGACCTTCTGTCAAGCAAAGTCAATGGAGAAACCCAGATTTGCTTAACCGTGTTACTAATTTAGCAGTAATTCACTGAACAAATGTGAGAAAAGTTGTCAAATGGGGCAAAACTCAACAAATTTCACTTAGCAACATAAATGTTGGGTTCCATTGTGGTTTGTAAGTTGAGAACTATCTGTACTTCAAGGATTGCCTCAGTCATAATTTTCAGATCATAATTGTTTAGAAACAATTGGACCGGTAACATAAGAAAAGCTGAGCTAAAAATACATTGGAAGACCAATCTTGCAAAAAAAAAAAGACGGAGGATTCTACTTACCAATCACAACTGAGCGTAAATGTGTTTTGTAACCCACAAATTCACATTCTTCCCCTTTCTTGAGAATACCACGTTCAAGGGTACCTGCTACAACAGTCCCCCGACCTAGAACAAATTAAAGCCAGTTTAAATAATAAGGTACAAAATGGATCTATGGATCCCCATCTTTTGATGTGCAGGGTATAATGTGAAGGTTTGTTACCTGGAATGGAGTAGGTACGCTCTACGGGGAGCAGAAAAGGTTGATCAAGGTCACGTTTTGGCACAGGGATGTATGAATCCACTGTATCCAGAAGCTTCATTACAGAGTTCAGTCCCAGTTCTGGATTTTGGTTCTATAAGAAAAGAACCACGGGAATTAGTAATGCATCTTAATAAAGGGAGGAAATAAAAGGAGCAAAGCTTGTGCAATGTAACACTGACCTCCAGAGCACATAGAGCAGACCCTACAATTACAGGAGCTGCTTCCCCATCATAGCCCAACTCTGTAAGTAGTTCACGGATCTCCAGCTCCACTAGTTCCAACATTTCTTTATCATCAACTGCATCAGCTTTGTTGATGTACACAATCACATGTTTCACTCCAATCTAGAATAGTGTGAGGGGATAAAAAAAGGGAAAATTGTTTAAATTTGCCCTGAGCAAATGTATCATCATGATTACTAGATGCCTCTTTTACATCAGAACCAACCTGTTTAGCAAGCAGAAGGTGCTCCCTAGTCTGTGGCATTTGTCCATCTGTTGCGGCCACCACTAGGATACAGCCATCTAATGGTGCTGTCCCAATGATCATATTCTACAAAGAAAGGGGACCGTGTCAGTTGCCAACATTAAGCTTAGAAAAACATCCTTTCATATTATTGTTGGCATAAAAATATCTCAAACAGGAAAGATACTTGGTGTTTTTTTTAATCATCCGTTTATTTAAATATATCTTGCAGGGATTCTAAAATAGGAATATTGGAATTCTTAAAAGGTTTCTTTGGCATCTAATTCCCCATGCCTACCTTGATGTAATCAGCATGCCCGGGACAATCTGTGTGACCATAATGGCGGTTGGCTGTTGAATATTCTACATGGGAGGCATTAATTGTAATCCCCCGAGCCTTCTCTTCTGGTGCATTATCAATCTCTTCATATTTCTTGTACTGGGCACTTCCAGTCTCCGAAAGAACTGGAAGAAAAAGGTAAATATGAACACATCACAGGTGTGCTTAAACTGATACATTTGAAGGGCTGGCACTATTCCTTGTCTAAGAGGACAATTCAGCTAAACAATGCTCAAAGGTTCTTTTATTCCTTTTCTGAACTTCTGAATTAGCAAAAAGAACTTTTATGCATCTCAGCCTTTTTTTTCTCCTTATACAATTATAAGTGTTAATAGAGGGGAAACAGCGTGAACGTCTTTCTCGCACTTGATAAAAGTGGAGAACACATGGTGTTTAATTCTTCACCAGAGCCTCAGTAAGGAGAAAGCATTAAGCCTACCATGTAAAACTTTGAAATAATATGCTTGAACTGATCTGAAACCCGCTGGAAGACTCCTGCTGTCTAACAGAGCCTTAACATCTTCAAATATATTGTGATAGCCATCAATCAAGATTATTCTCGATTTTTATTCCAAATACAAAGGAATAAGATTCTAGATGGGAATCCTGACTGAAAACAGCCAGAGCACCCAACACGCACAAAAAACTAACCCCTGGCAATCTTTTTTAATATCAAGCTTTAATTTTAGACCATCCTGTTTATCTATAGCTTTGGATCAGTCCAGTCAATTGCTCCAATATACTGGTGGTTCTTTAAATCAATAGCCCTTTAGCAAATAAAAAGAGAGGTGCTTAAGATAGTTATTTGGTCTTCTTTAACAACTGTGCCCATCGTTCCCCAACTCTCACTTTTAGTGATGGCTGCTGTTAATGTGGTCTTGCCATGATCCACATGCCCAATTGTTCCAATGTTGAGATGTGGTTTGTCCCTTACAAATACTTTTTTTGCTTCAACTGCAAAACATCGAATTGGGAATTCTAGTCCACTGAAGCTTGTGCCAAGTATTGGTGGCTGCAAAAAAACACAAGTAGCAATATTAAAATCTCTGAATTTTTGCCTCTAACTTGTACAATGTTTGTCTTTTCCACTCCCTGATGTAAAATGTTTCTTACCTTGGACAGTACATATTGCAAGTACTGAGACAGGCAACCACGTAGGCCTACAATACACAAATGCAATGATTGTGATAGCAATCTCATTAGTTTATGGTATTCTGCTTTTACACACTACACTGCTTCACATTCAAACACCCAATTATACTTCGCATAGCCCATTGA